CTCTCTCTCTCTCTCTCTCTCTCTCTCTCTCTCTCTCTCTCTCTCTCTCTCTCTCTCTCTCTCTCTCTCTCTCTCTCTCTCTCTCTTTCTCTCTGCTCTCTCTCTCCCCGTTCGTCTCTATTCCTGAGGTGGCTTTTTCTTTTCCTGGAATGCAACTTCAATTCTTCCCGGTGCTACAAATACTGCATGTTTTTTCCGCTTTTGCGTTTCTGTTTAATCCTCAACTAAACACGTTGCTATGGTCTTTTGCGTGTTCGTTTTTGTTTGTGTTGATGAATCCTCCTGCCCTGCAAAATTGTGACCGCCTTTAGATGAATCTTCTCGCGCCGCAGAACAACGAGCACGACATGAACATCGGACACAACAGCAACGCTATAGACACACACACGTTGACCGCATCCAACCGCGATTCAATGCGGCGCACATTCACACCATCGCCCTCATCACACAACATATCTTTGTCACCATTGCAACACTCGGTGACAGAACGCCATGCATTCATTGCGGTGCAAAGAAATGGCAACACGAACATCCATGGACGATATCATGTTGCCACCGAGGGAAAGTCAAACTGGAAATATGGCAGTTCCCTCCGCCACAAACCCGTGAATATCAAATACTCCAACACATCACATGGGAGGCTCTTACGAACACGAGCGCGCCAATTTAACAACGCACTCGCACTAACATCGCAAACTGTCAAAGAGACACAATATCCTCCGGGCGCCTGACCAGGTATGCTACGAATAGAAGGCGAACTCTGCCAAAACTTGGGCCCACTCTTTCCGCAACCGAACAATCAACCTGCTTTTGCGCACATTTACGTCTACGACCCGCAAGACGAACACGACGCTACACTTCTTTGCCTCAATCGTCTCGATCTCCCTATCGACACGCCTCTTGCGAAAGTTCGCAGCATAAAATTCCTCCTCCGAAAACTCCATACGCTCTTATACTTATGCAACCCGTGGGTGCAAGACTTCACTACTATTTCTGAAATGCCTGACGAAATGTTGCATGACCAGCACATTGTCATCAATCCTGACGCCCGACCAACATGCCAGCATGCACGCCGATACAACAAACAGGAAGGCGTTAAAGAGATTTGTCTCCTCATGCACGACCAGCCTACAAACCGCGAAATCAAAATTCACAAACGTGAAGGTTGTAATATTGCAATCCCTGAAACAAACCATGCTTTTGATCCTGTCCATTACGTTCTCCTTTTTCCTAAAGGTGATGATGGATGAACGCCTTAATGCGATTATGATGATGAAGACACCGCTCGATCTACTACAGCGAGAGAGTTTTATGCTTTCCACTTGAACACACGTGTCACTGAAAGAACAACCCGTTTCCGCGCTTCTCGACTTTTCCAACAATACGTCTGTATGACATTCGGGAAAATCGAAAATGGCCGCCTCCTATACAATCGCTTGCACCAAACAGAAATACGCGCCGACCTGTACCAAAACCTAAGAGATCATGTTATGCAGTATGACAATACAAAAATGTTGGATAACGCATTATCCTGCCAGGAACATTTACTGGAGGACCCCGTGACATGCACCGCCGATATCAAGATGCTATGGCAACCGTCCAAGAATACGGAGCACCAGACTTATTCCTCACTTTCACATGCAACCCACATCGGCCCGAAATAGAAAGCGCGCTCTTCACGAATCAACAACCAGCAGACCGACCTGACCTCCTTGCACGTGTTTTCAAAGGATACCTTCGCCAACTTATCCACGACATACACTCGACTGAGTCGACTCACGTGTTCGGCCCAACAACAACATATACATATGTCATTGAATTCAAAAAACGTGGGCTGCCGCACGCACACATCATTGTCACACTCAAACAAGACAAAAAATTTCAAACGCCTGCACAAATTAATTCTGTTGTTTCTGTCGAATTTCCTACCAATCCTGCATTGCGAGAGCTCGTCCTTGCTCACATGATTCACAACCCGTGTGACGTACACAACATGCACGCATCGTGTATGCATAACGACCGTTGCACACACTTTTTCCCTAAAGATTTATCCGAAAGCACAACCTGGAATGAAGAAACCGGATACCCTATTTACCGTCGCCGTTTAGCCGATGACGGAGGACTGACAACACTTCGTGGTGACACTTAAATTGATAATTCCTGGGTTGTCCCTTATAACCCCTACCCTCCTCCAATATCGCACACACTTCAATGTCGAAATTTGTGCCTCAACCGCCGCATGCCGCTACATGTTTGAGTATATTCTCAAAGGGTCTGATAGAGCAATGGTCGTTGAGGCAATAAATACTGAAGACGAAATTCAAACATACCAAGATTTGAGAACAATTGGCACTGCTGAATCCTGTTGACGCATTTTCGACTTTGTCTTATGCGATCGCTACCCTGCTATGACACCTCTGCCTGTTCACACCGAAAACCGTCAACGCATATACTTCCGTCGTCGACAAGCCCTACAAATTGTGCATGCTCCACCACCCGAAACAAAACTCACAGCATGGTTTAAATGGAATGTTGCTCATCTTCATGATCCAGAAGATAACAAACCACTGTACAAAGATATGATACGACGTTTCGTTTCGACAAAACCACAAAACAATGGGCTGCTCGCCGAAACACAATGAACACGATTGGACGAATACATACAATGCACCCAAATGGAGGTGACACATTCTACCTCCGAATTCTCATACTCTCCCTGCATTCGCGCGGCGCTACAAGTTTTGAGCATCTTCGAACTGTTGCCGGAGAAATTCACCCAACATACCAATCCGCATGCAAGGCCCCCGGCCTTCTGAACGACAATACTCAATTCGATGCTGTCCTGCATCGAGACGAAGCTGAAAATCTGTCTGAAAGACCACGTCGCCAAGGCATTCCGCGAATCATCGATGACGAAATCTCTTACGATCAACATATCCTACAGCGCACCCTCGATAACAACCTGCCGCGTTTAACACCGTCCCAACATGCAATCTTCCAACGTATCATCCACGCCGCCGAAAACAATGAATCACTCTGCCTATTTGTTGATGCACCTGCAGGCACGGGCGAAACTTTTTGCTTCAACACAATTCTTGCACATCTTCGTCTCCACAACCGCGTTGCCCTTGTTGTTGCCTCAAGCGACATTGCCGCAACTTTGCTAGATGGAGGACGCACTTTCCATTCATGCTTCAAAGCAACCCTCAACCCCACCGCTACTTCCACATTAGACATTCCCAAACAATCTGCACTCGCAAACCTTATACGCATGACCAACATTATCCTCTGGGACGAGGCGTCCATGATATACAAAGTTCACATCGAAGCACTCGACCAAACTCTGCAAGACATTTGCTCATCGACGCTTCCATTCGGCGAAAAAATCGTTGTCCTTGGCGGTGACTTCCGACAAATCCTCCCCGTCATTACTAAAGGCACACAAACAAAAACAATAGACGCATGCATCAAATCATCACCATTATGGTCCCATTTCGAAACCATGCACCTCTCTGAAAACATGCGAGTCCAAACCCAAATCGCCACTCCTGAAGGGCGAGACTACGCACAATGGCTCCTCGCATTGGGCAACGGCAAACTCGAACACCCTCACGAAACTCCACCCAACACTATCTCATTGCCCCCCCACTTATGTCTCCACGACGGTACCACTGACCTCATTGAATGGACATTCCCCAACCTCCAAACCAATTTCCAGAACCCCGACTGGATATCCGAACGCCTCATCTTAGCCCCTAAAAACAAAACCGTCTCCACACTCAACAACATCATCCTTGATTCTTTCCCTGGAGAAATCATCACATCGCTCAGCGTAGATTCACTTCTCCCAAACAAAGCATTCCCTGACATCCCCGTCAATACACTCAACACCCTTGACTTACCATCACCGTCGCCGCACATCCTCCGCATAAAAAACATGCACCGGTCATTGTCCTACGAAATATTGCAATGCGAAACAACCTTTGCAATTGAACACGACTCATTGTCCACTCCGTCACCAACAACAGACTGCTCCATGCTCGCACACTCCCCACTCTCCAGCCGGTTCTCCTCCCACGCATACTCCTCACGATAACAGATAAGAAGTTCCCCATTCCCATGGCAGAGACGCCAGTTCCCTACCCGCCCCGCCTTTGCCATCACTATAAACAAATCCCAAGGGCAATCGGTCAAACACGCTGGCATTGACCTACACCAACCACCATTCGCACACGGTCAACTATATGTTGCCGCCTCCAGAGTCGGCGATCCTGCACACATCCGCTTCGCCCTCCCAACACCGCTGCAACATACAACAAACGTTGTTTACAAAGAAATTCTCATCTAAAGCAAACCTCACAATTTTTAACAACAGATTTCCCATTGCCCTGCAGGTTCGCTATCGAAAAAACTCAAGACTTTGGCATCGATAACCGCTGAGGCCAACCACTCGCCAACAACGCCCGCATCGGCAACAACATCGACAACATGTACACCCATTCTAACCACAACACAATCGACGACACCCCCTCCCGACACATCCACTGCCACCTCGCCGCGCCATCCACTACCATAACACTACCCACGAACCCTTCTACCACCACCGCATCCACCGACGCCTCCATCCCGATCTCCATCGCTGCAACAACTACCACCCCCGATCTCACAACATCGTCCACACCATCTACCACCCCCAATCTCACAACATCATCCACACCGTCCACCGCTACCACCACCCTCAATCTCGAAACACCATCTGCACCATCTCCCTCCCAGTCACTATCACCTTTCCACTTTTCGGTCGATGACACAACACTCGCAGAAATCCCCATCCCTCTATCACAACTTGAACCACAATGTCCGCCTCCCGCATCACAATCCGCTCACTGATCACAAAAACCTACGCTAACATACGACTCTTGGATACCTCTCGTCACACCCATCAATATCAACCCCATCATCGACCAATTGGTCTGGGAAGACTTCCTCTCAACCGACCATGCCGCCTTCTCCCCACACATCCTCGATTTCTTCGACATTTACAAACACAACCACACATAATCACTACAAAAACAGGAACCGCACCATAATCCTGACATCCACTTCGCACGAATGAAAACATTCATGCTCAAAATTATCAACAATGAATACAACAAACTGCGCTCGCCTCCTGTCACACGCGCGCTCTGCCGCTACGAATGAATCACGAACGCACACCGCAAACACTCTTTCATTGCATCTGCGCCTCTGCCAGCCCGTCCACCCCTCCAACCGCATTCACTCCACGACATAGACCCGCTCTGGTGGCTCCCCCTCGAACCATGGGGTGCAACCCGCTCAACAGCTATGATCCATGACATCCTCGCAAACCCCCTCACACTCGACATCTACAACATCCCCCACCCACCTTGCACATTGGACTACCTCAACCACCTCATCTTTCTCCGCCACCACCCCCTCCCACCATTCCCTGCATTCAGATCTGGTATCATCGCCCGCGCAGCGCTGTACCTGCAGGCCCAAGACGCTCCCCGCTGCTGACACACCAGAACTCCAAGACCGTCTCAAGACCGCCAACAACGGCGATCACCATCCACATACGATCAAGACGGTGACCGTGGACAAAGAAGGGGCCGGCGCCACCGACGGAACGCCTATCCCGAATCATGCAGCAGAGATGGCAGCTTGCGCCTTCGCAAAGAGACACGGAAACACAAAGGCTGCCAACAAGACACATCGACATACGATCAAGACGGCGACCGTGGACAAAGAAGGGGCCGGCGCCGCCGACAGAACGCCTATCCCAAATCATGCCGGAGAGATGACAACATGCGCCTTCGCAAACACAGAGCTATGTCTTCTAGGTAAGTTCGCTTCCACTGGCTATAGCGACTGTGCGCCTCAAACACTCACTGTTCACACTCTGGATCACCCTGGATGTCCCACACGCGATACCCAGTACACACACACAGTACACACACTCTTCCCCTAAGCTACAGCTATGGCGGCTATGGCCGCCGCTACCCTACTGCTATGGCTACAGTATGTCATTCTCGCCCACTTCGTCTTCGGGCCTTCTGCAGACCTGCCAAAGAGACACATCTGCACATTTTTGCAACCATTTCCGAATACTATAAAACAGCAGAGGCAAGGAGAGAGAGAGAGAGAGAGAGAGAGAGAGAGAGAGAGAGAGAGAGAGAGAGAGAGAGAGAGAGAGAGAGAGAGAGAGAGAGAGAGAGANAGAGAGAGAGAGAGAGAGAGAGAGAGAGAGAGAGAGAGAGAGAGAGAGAGAGAGAGAGTGCTCCAAATGCCCCCGTGAGTTGAGACATCTCTCGAAATGTCCCTTCAGATATGTGGGCCCTGTGGAATGGCCTTTTGAGCTGCCATGTTTGTGTTGTGCCCCTCTCACGTGCGTGTCCAAATTCACACAATACTCTCCTCTGTCTCCTTCCCCCCTCCCCGGCTTTGGCCGCAGCGTGCCTGCGGCGGGTCCACTTGTTGTAGTAATCCATATTCTTCTCTCAATCTTCTTTGTAAAGTTTGTATATATTTTTCCTCGTCTATCTCATCCCTTCGCCACTCTATGTATAGTATGGGGGACCACCAACCAAATCTGGAACCTGGAATTCTCCCGGGCCCACGGGCCCACGGGGTAGGTTGGCACCACAGCAGCGGTGCGAGAGCAAGGCTTGTATCAGCCCCTCATCACGATCATGATGCGGGGGGGTGATCAGGCATGCGGACGGGGGGCAATAGGCGATGCTAGTGCCAGGCATCTTTTTAGCCAGTCACTTGCACCTCCCCCTACCCCCCTCCAACCCCACATTAGCGGTGTCTAATGACCATTATCATTGCTGCATAGCAACCAACAATATTTTGTTTGGCCAAGGTCCTCTGCCAATGCTGGCTCGGAGGGGCCGACGGGTTATCTCTAGCTGGTAGAAGACCAGCACTGTAGCGTTGTGTCTCGGACCGCAATCACAGCGTAGGGGATGCTTTTTTTTTGTTTTTTTTTGTTTTTTTTTGTTGCCCTTCTTCACTGTTGTTCATTGGACAAATGACGTCACTGAGGGCACAGTCACACTAACACCTCATAGAATGTATGTGATGGCTATCACGGTGTCAGGGAAGATTCTTTTTTTGTTTTTTGTTTTTTTGTTGTTGTTTTCTTGTTCTTTTTTGAATGCAACTGCCCAGGCTTGGCAATACTTGGTGCGTAGTGAATTCAGGCAGTGCTCGTGCTGCGTCGCGCGGTATGTACCGGCCCGGCGATTTGCAACGTGTACATCCAGGCAAAATGGGTCGTGCACACGACTCGTTTTGCCTGGATGATGGTTTTGTTGCGACGTGCCAGGCTGGTACATCATGCCCGGCGCGGTGCAAGGACTACCATGTCGTCGAAAAAAGACTGGGAAAAAAATAGTACTGGTGGTTGAAGAATGGAGGACCCCATGGATACAGCAGAAAACAGTGGAGGCTTGAATTTTGAGAACTGATTGGGGGATAAGCTGTTGGAAGGTTTCTTCCCCCTTTCCTTTCTCTTCTTCCCCCCCCCCTCACCCATTGCCTTTTGCATCCTCCCTGGCTCACCCGTACTTCCCCAGTCCTACCTCAGTGTCTACCCTCAGGATGATCACTTGTCTACAATCATGGTGGGGTGACTTTACTGGGAAGTGGTTTAAGTTCTAGGCACCAGGGCTGAGCAAGACCCCCTCTCAGCCCCGGTTGAAGCATGGTCTGAGGCGGTGACAACGACGAGGTAATGTCGGCGCCGGGACGCGGGCAAGGAGAAATCGATGTTTGTCTAGTTGGGGCGAACAAGCGCAAAGGAGAAGAGAACAAGCGCAGAGGGGAGGAGAAAAGGGCTCCTGTGGGGGGGTGTTGGGGATTGAGGAGGTGGGGGAAGGAACATGGGACAGGAGGGCGAGCGAACCCAACTAAGAAGGGTGATACACAGAGGGTAGGCAGGAAAACCATCCAGGACTCGGATTCAGTCCCCTGCAAGTAAGAAGAGCCACAAAGTGACAACACAAGCATTCAGTAGGAGGAAGACACAGGAATCACGAGAGTGGGTAAGGACACCGCCGACGGATTAGGTATGATTCAGGGAAATGGGGGCTAGAAGAAGAAAGGGGAGAGAAAGAAGCGAACAAAAGATTGAAACAAACGAAATAGAATTAAAAAATAAAAAATTTGAAAAAAACAAAAACGAAGAACGAACAAAAATAAATAAATATACAATACGGAAAATTCCAAAGCTAACAAAAAGAAACAAAGAAACAAAAGAAACAAAAGCAAAACGCTTGGTCTCCGGAATTATTAAACAAGCAGGCATTCCAGATCCAATTACCACATCAACATGAGGCCGACGAACAGATTGCAATGTGCACATAAGCGATTGGACTCGATGCTTTTCTATAGTGGGGCAATGAGACAACTAGCAGATGAACACATCCGTCATAAACGATGGTCCCAACAGAAGGCTGCCTCAAATGTCCTTCGACCCCCATCACAGAAGGAAATGAGCATGAGTCATGAAATGCAACAGACTGAGGACGCAGGGATCCTGACGGAGGAGGAGAAGGAGATGGAACTACAAAAGAAAACGCCCCCCTCCGACCAATTGACGAGTGACAGCCAGCCACAACTCACCTGGGCAGACAAACAAACCAGCACCAGAGTCTTGCCCTGACCATCCAGCGGGCCCAGGGCAGTCTGTGGGCTGGGAAACTCGAGATCCCCCTGGATGGGCTACGACCAGCAAGGGCCTCTTTCATTACTAAATTTCTACTTCCCTCAGAAACAAGGGTCGTATCACAAGGAGGCAAGCAAGTCATGGTGAAGGCAGTGGCATAGCATGTAGAGACGAGGTCTTCATGATTATGTTGCTTTCAAATTTCATGATTATGTTGCTTTCAAATTGGTCAATGATAAAGTCGAGTGGATCGGCTGTCAGCTCGAAGTTATGAAAAACAACGCTGACCTGACCCGAGATCAATTTCTGATCCAACCAGTCTCCAACACTTTGGTCACAGTCTTGAGCATGCATGAATCTGATAAGAGGTGATGGACGGAT